ACCATGTTGAAACTGCCATATACAGTCTCTCTCTATATATATATATATATATATAAATATACATATATATATCTTTTTCTTTTTTAACAAAAGAAAAACACCAGGTGCTTTTGTTTGTTTGTTTTCTTTTTACTTTTGTTGGGATTTTTTGAGGGGGGGAGGAGGGACGAGGGAAGGGTAGGAAGGGATGGAATCTTTAACTGGGGGTGCAATACCCTCAATAAAAAAACACAAAAAATTGCAACTAGCCCCAGTTTTGTTATGAAATTCTTGGTTTTCTTTTTTAACAAAAGAAAAACACCAGGTGCTTTTGTTTGTTTGTTTTCTTTTTACTTTTGTTGGGATTTTTTGAGGGGGGGAGGAGGGACGAGGGAAGGGTAGGAAGGGATGGAATCTTTAACTGGGGGTGCAATACCCTCAATAAAAAAACACAAAAAATTGCAACTAGCCCCAGTTTTGTTATGAAATTCTTGGTCATCTCCAAAGAGATGATTTGCTCTACCCATGACTATTGCCTGCAAAACAACAAAAAAGAAAGAAGCAAAAACAGGGGGGAAAGAACTTCTTGGTTGTCTTTGTGTACTTTAAGCCTTTGGGAGAAACTTCTACTAAGCATGGCTGTTACACTTGTATATATATTGAGCCTTGAGTGGCCTATGATGTAAAACAATTGTATTAATGGTGGTTTAACTCTCTTTCTCTCTCTCTCTCTCTCTTTTTTTTTTTTAATTTTTACAGTTACATCCAGCTGTTAGATATGCAGAAAAAATAGTTTGCTGGCTAGCTCTATTCATTTATGTTAGCTTTAATGCACATTTTAAAAAAGAAACACGGTCTTTTTTTAACTACCTGCTATATATAAGTAATAGAGAGGTGCTGGCATGCTTTACAGTACCTGATCTGATACAGTTTTTTTGTCTTGTACTATTACATAAATCCAGTCATGCACTTTTTTCATACACTACAAGGGGATGTGTAATAATATCCATGTTTTTTCCCTTAAACTATTGCCATACTTTCAGTAAGTGTCTTTAAAAAAACACTTAGATAAAAGTGGTCTGGTCAGTATAGGGCATGAATGCCAAACAAAAAGTATTAGTATTTAGTGTTAACGTAAAAGTGCCAACTTTGCACAAGTTTTCAGAAAAGAAAATATAACTAGTTACTCATTGTAACCAGAGGCTGAGTTTTTGGCCAAACAAAAAATGCTAGGGAGAAAAAAAAGAACACTTGGTGCTTTTTTCAAGTGTCAAATATTATTAGAATCAACGGTGCATCTTTATTTCTTATATGTTAAGTTACATAAAAGGAAAACAAAATTATGTGGTGTGAATCAGCGGAGGCATTTCCTCTGTTGAACAAGGATAATATTGCAGGATAGAGATGTCGAAATTACTTTCTGCAGAACAAAGCTAGGTACAGTGAATCCATTCTGGTGCTCCTTGCTGAGGCCTGGGCTTTTGTGTCCTTCAAAAAAAAAAAAGAAAAAAAGTCTTACTCTGTTGTTCTGTAACGTTGTCTGATTTGCAGTGGAAAGTGCTGTAGTATGATTAAGGCATGTTTTATAAAAGCAAACAAAAGACATTAATGACAGAAGCACTTAAAAGCTCTGAAAACACATGCTGGACTTTTAATTGGGTTACCTTCCCTTTGAATAAATTAGAGGCAAAAACCCCAAAAGCAATAGTTATGTTAATGTTTTGTGTTTTACCCACGTGGTTCATCAGAGAAAAATGAAAGCAAGTCCAGGAAAGTGTGTGAAAGAGAAAGGGAACACACAGTTGAAAAAGACAGAGGGAGAAGCTGCCCTCTGAATCTTTTTTTGTTTCCGATGTTTACACATGGTGCTTGAGCTGGTAAACCGCACTGGCAGCCTAAGCTACCACAACATACTGACTGAATGATGATATTTACTTAAGTTCAGCCTACAGCCAAAACCATTAGGGTGTGTGTTACAGACTTTTTTTTTTTAAAGCCAAGGAATATTTCAGCATACAATGCTCACTTAAAAACAATGTATTCCTTTTCTGTATTTAATGGCCTAGAACATTTCTCTTGTTACCCTGAAATGCTCCTTTGTTTCAGCTTCAGGTTGTTTAGATTTGTTGTGCATTTTGATCATTTTGTCCACTTGAGCACTCGCTCCTGTTAAATTTGCCAGAGGAAACTGTTAATATGGATTCTCTCCCTTTAGGATTCATTGTACATTTCAGTATTCCTAAAGTAAGAATTAAAAGATAATGCAGTGTTTCCATTTGTAGAAAATAAAATTTAAAACTTTTTAAAAATTCTTCTAAAGAGAGTGGAATCATGCTCCTGTGGGATGTATTATTTAGGGCAAGCGTCTGATCACTCCTTGGTAATGTACAGTGAGAAAAGACTAAAAACATCTGTGGATTCCATAGAAACTATTTGAAAAGTCCAATGTGTCAGACAAGAAACACGTAGAGTAAAATCCTAAGCCATTTTTGCTGACTGATTATTTTACATTTGTTTCACTTTCCCCCAAATTCTTAAATATTTTTCCTCATCAAATTAAGTGAAGAGATCTGCTTTGTTTTGTTTGTACATGTCCAGTATGTTTTTGAAAGAGGGAAGTTAGAACAGTAAAGGTGAATTCTTCTTAATATATGACCCTTTGTAGTGTTATCTGTACTACTCTTCTGTCACAATCCTAAACGGTTAGGAGCCAAGCAAGATAGAAAGTTTGAAAGAAAAAAAACTAAAATAATTGAATGATATCTACAGAAAAAAAACACTGTTTTTGAAGTATGTATGGTATAAATAAATATCTTTTTTTAATGAAAAACACATTTGAGGCATATAAATAATTCTTTACTGAATGAATCACTGTTCTACATTCTCATTTTACTATGTTTCTGCTAAAGGTCAAATGGTTTTTGGTAAATTAGTTTGGAAACCTAAACATCATCAGCAGATCAATTCAGCAAATGAATTACACAGAAAATGTCTGTTTATTACACAAAATGAAACAGGATGTTAGAAAAATGTAACAGATCTGAGACAGACCTCTGGAAGTTTTTTTAAAGCCATTCAGTCCTGTTGTCATAGCATCTTAAACTAATCCCCTATTGTGCTTAGTTATTGTAAAAGACAATGCTATTCTTCAGTATCACACTCCCATTCCTTGGAGGGGATCTTACATGCTTTCATATCTGCATGTAATTAATGTACTCCCCCAACACTTGTGATGGCTTATGACAGTGGTTGGTTTTGGAAGGACACTTAAACTCTCATTGAGTTGCATGGAAGCTCACTAAGCCCTGGTTTACACTAGGGTGTTATTTCAAAATACCCCCCCTTAGGTTGAATTTAAAGGTGGAGCATCCATACTACCAAGCCCGTTATTTAGAAATAATGGGCTGCTTACTTCAGAAGCTGTACTGCTGCTTTTCTTGGGGAATAACGCTAATTTCAAAATAGTTATTTCGAAATAGCGTTAGTGTGGATGCTCTGGCGCTGCTATTTTGAAATTACTATTCCCCAGAATAATTCAGACTAGTTTCTCCCCAATGCCTCTTAGGGTTATAAATTGTGGTAGGGCATCCACATTAATGGAGTTTGCCTCGGACTGATTTCGAGGTTTCCCTGTTGTGGGGAAATGCTATTTCAATTTTGTAAAATCAGGAATTATGTCAGTTTTAGTAATTTCAAAATAATGACCTAGTGTAGACATGCCCTAAGAGTCCAAACTCAGTAGACCTATTCCTGAGACAAAACTTGCATTGTTTGAAATTTTGTAAAATCACAAATCACAAGGTATATCTCTGACCTATGTAAAATGAATTTGGTTTTAATCCAGTTTCTGGTGGACATCATAGGGAAAATATAACATAGCTGGCATTAGAGGGCATTTGCAGCAAATACCACAAATTGAATGAGTATACAGACTGTCTCTAGGTGTGGGGGGTGGCTGCCCTCCTGCCCATGCTTATAGTTATTCTGTGACTAGCTCTTCAGTTTCCATAGTTGTCAATCCAGCATCTTTTACACAAGCTAAATTGACATCATGGGGGAGGAGAAAAGGGAAATACTTCCATTTACTCATGTTAAATGGAAGTTGCTCCAGCTGAAAAAGTTATGTTCCAGTAGTTAATGAGCATCTGCGCTAAGTTACTTTGATATTTTAGTCATTTCAAAATAGATGTATGTTTTTGTAAATATCAAAAGGGCTTATTCCACTGTGAGGATTAGCTCTGCATGTTAAATCTCCTTTAAAGAGAGCTGCCACTTGCCTGGCGCTTGTGTGCTTTCCCCCTCCGCTCCCAGCAACTATGTAATACCAGATAAACACTATGTTCCTCTGGAACCCCTGGTACTAAATCACAATGAAGAGAGGCAGTGAGGTGCAAAAGCAGAAGTCAGGAACTCCTGAGTTTTGGCACTATCTGTCTGCTCAGGACTTGGGTAATTCACTTACTCATCTGTGAATATGGGGATAATAAATAATAATACCTACCTCACAAGGGTGTTGTGAGGATTAATGAGTTGTTTGTAAAGAGTGAACATAAGTATGAAATATTATTACACAGATTACCATATTTAGATCATATCTGTGAAATATGTCTCAGCCTGATCAATGAAGAAATGGCTGAAATTTTTAACACTCTCTCCACCCCTATGAAAAAGAGGTTGACGCTGCAAAACCCACCCAACAAGTGAACTACAGCAGTCAGCATAGTTACATTGTAAAAATGAACATGTCTATGCAAACACTTTGTCACAACTGACTTTGATAAATTGTGGAAGGTTTAGGTTAACAGGCCTATTGAGTATTTACACATTGCTCTAAAAATTCTCTAGAATGTCTTTCAGTAACCCTGCTCATAAAAATTGACTATTTCCCAGAGAAATTTAGACACTTAACAATTGGAAATTTGGGCTGCATTTGTTCTAGGTAAAGTCTTTCTTTCTTTCTTTCTTTCTTCCTTTCTTTCTTTCTTTCTTTCTTTCTTTCTTTCTCGAATAACTCCATCTCCTACACCTATTCCAACAGGATGTAAACATCCCTTCCCCCCATATGTATATAATCCTGGAAGAGGGATGGCAAGACCCTAACCCGAGTTTACTC